CCTGTTGTATACTGCGTCGCCCCCTCATGGTGGTGCGTGCACGCGTGCGTTCAGTTCATGTGAGTTCATGTGAGTTCATGTGAAGGAGAAGTTTTTGCAACAAACCCTACACGTCTTTCCTCCTTGGCCCGAGTTCGCCGAGTTGCCGACACCCTATTCAACACACGTCTTGCGACAAGCTACCCCCAGTTCGGATTATCCTAACAGAGGTCGGAAGACCATCGTTGACGTTATCGAACGGAAACACACCAAGGGGGACTTTGAGAAGGGGCGCTCAAGCGGTACCCAAAACATCTCCTGGTGCCAAACTCGAAACACCCGCCAATGGCACACGTTGGCAGCTATGATTGACGAAATGTTCTTCGGAAGAAAACATGGATGTTTGCGGAAATATATCCACTATATAGTTGCATACAAGAGCAGGAGAACCGTCACTGCGAACCAAATCAACTGGGGCAAGGTGATGTTCAGGTAGTAATTGAATGAAATGCCGGCCAGCATACCGAAGCTGGAAACGTCCCTCCTGGGCAGAGACATCATGGACGAAAGCTTCAGCGCCACCCTGCTTATGATGGGCCAAAGTCAACTCTCCATAAACGCGATCGCCACGGCGTCTCGTCGGCAAGGCACGGTAGGAGCGGTCGCTAAACCGCATCCAACTATCTCTACCGAGCAATATATCATGTTGCAGAACACCGTCAGGCACAACACAGGCCCAAACGGCGAGAGATGCTGTCGGGAATTTTCGTCGAAGAAACTGTACGCTCAAACGGACCATTGTCGACGTTTGAAGGGGGGCGGACTCGCTAAACCCACCCCAACAACGAGGTTGAGTGCGTTTTTCAAATAGCGATGAAGCTGCACCCTTGGCTTTCATGGTCTCTCGAGTCCGAGGACTAACAAGAGTCTGTGGCGAACCAGTGTCCAACAAAGCCGCGCATCCATATTGCGTAGAAGCCGAGCCACGATGGGTTAGGATTCGTGTAGTAAAACAGTCATCGTCAACGGTGATGACACCGCCGACTAAACTTGGACCTTGGTCAGGGAGCAAAGGTGACGGAGGACCAGAATGGTCAGCACCCCGAGACACAGCCCAAACGCTGGTGTCGTGATCGGACGGCACACTACTGGCGTATTGCGAGAATTTCGCAAAACGCGCCGATGACGGCGGCACTGAGGCCGTCGATAACCGTTCATGTGTGGAAAGGTTAAATTCGAAAACGGTACGGCGATCCGATGGCGGCGCGGGTGTTTTACCCAAAGCCGACAAGCGAGAACTGCGTCCTGGCAGTGGGGCATTTGATCGTATATGTTGGCGAACCTTCTGTGAAGCTATTCCCAACAAATTTAGACCACGCCAACGGGACGGACGACAAGCGTCAGGGTGATCAGCCCGAAGGCCGATCCCCCAAATGAGGTCCCAAGGGCTGGCTTCTGCTAAACGTTTATCGCCGGAACCAAGGAGGTGTAGTCTCATCTCTGCATTTTGGCTACATTTAGCGTAAGAACCGGTCAGCACGATATTTTCGCGCTCTTGCTCCCAGGGAGTTCGGTGAAAATTCTGGACCACACGGCCATGCTGTTTATGTAGGCGGGGGTCTGAAACTCTCATAATGTTCTGTAAACATTCGCGGTCGCCAAAAAGGCGAGCTTTTTTTGCAGCAAAAAATTGCTCTGCACACACATAGGAAGCACCACCAACCACAAAGGTAGAAGGAGTCCATTGGCAGAAGGGAGAAGGGGATTTCCGAAATAGGACTACGTCTGAATTGGAATACTCCTGAGTAGCATCGTAATCAACGCCTTCCGAGGACGGATGATGACTAGGAGTAAGAGCAGGATTTATATCCACTGCTTGAGGACCTGAAGTGGTATACGCCTGGACAGCAGCAAGGCCTACATCTTTCGCAGATGGGCCAGTGTCAGGGGTATGGGCAAGGGAATTTACATCCGTTGCTAAATTGCCTAAATCAAGGGGTGGGTCCATCGGAGAATTCGAATCCACTGCCGAAGTCGCCGAGATAAACGGGGGCGTCACGCTTCTCAGAGGGCTGTCCGTTTCTAGATCTTGGACCGTACCCGCATCCGTACCGGACCGGGGGGAATATTGATCGCTTTCGCTAGGAGCGGCCACCAATGCGGTGTCTGTCAATACAACTGTGGACGGTGCAAGGTGCTCCTGGCCGGTCCTCCGTGACAAGGATCGCGAAAATACCGTAGTTACGGCGGGCGTCTCTGAAGCGTCCTCTGGAGACGGTGCTGTCAACACTCTCAACGTCGATCGCGTTGGAAGTTGGTGGGGTCTGCTTAGCCCCACCGGGCGAGAGTCGTCGGTCGGAACAAGACGAAACCGCTACCGGTGTTGCGGCGGCTGGCGGACCAACGGCGGCAGCGAGCGCAGACGAATCACATGTATCAGAAGACGCATCAGAATTGACCATTTCTGACGAATCCTCCTCAATCGCATAAAGCGCGTTGCTCTTGCCGGTCTTACATGCAGACGCCGGGGGGAGCTGCCTAACTACACTCGGTGGCCCCGCGCGTCTGGTCGCTCTGTTCCCACACCTCAAGACGGCACTCGTCTCGGGGGAGTCATTTCCCGAAAGAGGAGCCATCGAACGAGGCGAAGTAGCAGAGGCCGCAGGCGAAGTGTCGACGGGCAAAAGGGAAACAGCATCGTTCTGTGCATTCCCAGTCCTAGCGACAGAATGTAAACAAGAATCAGCGGGTGTAATGACACCAGCATTTCGCCGGGCCGGAGCACTTCGCTCCACCATCCCTGATACACGTACATCTTATGAAGAACGTGCAAAATGTCCCGATGGTGCCGAAGGCGGGTCGGGGGAGGTACACGAACCGCCACCGACGGGTCAGTTGGAACCACGAGCATGGTGGCCATTCTGACCGCCAGGTTGGAAATTGCCCGGTTGTCTAGCGTTGTAATTCGACGAGACAAATACACCTGGAGAGCCTGTCTGAGCCGATGACTGCGGTCTGTATGTAGACAGAGCACCAGTGTGGTGGGTGTTGTCGGAAGACGACTGTCGAGAGGTGTTAGCATAGTTGCCAGTGTTGCGACCATCATTCTGAGAATTACCGTTGATACGGTAGTCGCCTGCGTGATTTCGACGCGAAGACGAAGAATGACGTTTGATACGCCCGCCAGTACCACCCGAACCGTGTGTGACTTACGACGGTGAGACCGCATGCGACCTTGCCACCGTCGGAAAGCGTCGGAGTTGTCTTGCAGCTCGCCTAGTTCTGGGTTGAGCAGACCACTAGTATTCGTAAAAGGAGCTGGGCAGTGTTTCATGGAGTGGTCTTCACAAGAACAGTTCAAACAACGGTTTCGGTTCTCTCTGAACGCGTGCGAGCGAGCGTCTTGTGTCAAGAGAGGCATCCACAAAAAGGGATCACCGGTGTTACGAAAAGAGGAACTGACTTGGTACACATCTGACCAATCGCCCTGTTTAGCGGGCCACGCGTTGTAATCGCGGGAAAACGGATCATTACCGCCATCCTGTGACTGAACTGCCAAAACAACAGGATTGTGTGCAGAACGTTGTGCCCACCAGCTCGAAGGCGCAGGTGCAGTGGCACGGTTCTGGGAACGCCGGGGCTGTGAAGAGCAAGGCGTAGAAGACAAAGATAATACTCTGAACCTCCTATTGCGGGGGTTAGCCAAAGGCGCGAACGCCTGCTATATTGCATCAATCGAATCAAACGGTGTCACGGCCGCAGCCAGGTCACCAGCGTACAACATCGGAGCCAATGACGGAAACTGCTTACTTATATAATTCCTGACAATCTCAAGCACCATCGATACACTAGGAGTCAAAACACGCTCAGACCCGTTCACCGAAGAAACCAAAAGACGGAACGCCCTAAGGTAACCCGCAAACAAGGTTCCATTCGAAACACCAAACTGCTCAAGTCGCAAAAACGACTCCTGTCGATCTCCGACATCAACTTGCTCCGACAGCAGCCGCAGAAGGAGCGTGAACGCTTCCGGGCCCGTGGCTCCGTCGACCAGCCTCCGCTTCACTTGCTGAAAATAATCAGAAATGGAGAGGACAAGGTCGGACGTACTAGGTTTTTCAGGGGAGATCGCACTCAAAATTCGCTTTTCGAGAGGGCTCCCAACCTCGGACAAAATCGGCGTCCGTGAAACCTACGCTACGATCATCAAACAACAGCAATATATCTGTGAGCGCAGATCGAACGGTGCGAATGAGCTGCTGGTGCGCATCAGCCGGCAGCAAAGACGCGGGGAAAGAAAGGCATAGTGGCAACACGCTCAAGGTTTTTAGGATTGAGGGTGATGTACTCACGTTGGACACGAGCAATATGTGCGGCATCTACTGTCGAGGCAGCAGCGGCAACCATTGCGTGTCGAGCGTGAGCAGTGGTGGAAGAAAGCGGCAAAACACTATCATCGGTTGGCGCACTCGCTATGGCGAGGGGCTCAATTGTCACAGACGGGGGAGCAGCTTCAACAGCAACTCCACTGGGTTCGGTCTTAATAGACGGTTTCTTATCTGCCACACCAAGAGAATCTGTCAACTCGACAGACTTGTCACTACCACGCAACAAAGTGTTCGAAAACACAAGATGACCATCACGCAAAAGAGCGTTAAGACGATCATCAGAAGCAACATCCACGAGAGACGATACTACTTGCCTGGATACCCTGCCCGAAGAAGTCTTCCGAGGAAGGCTACGTTCCGAACCGGAATCCGAGGATGCTCCTCCAGCCGTGTCCGAAGACGGGCGGGAGGTGCGGCTCTTCTTTTTTACTCCTTTCTTGTCCGCGCGCTCCGAAGAGCTGGACGCTGAAGAAGACTTCTGGGCGCGACCACGCTTGGAAGACGTAGACCCGCGGAGGTGGCTGCTGTCGGTGTCGCCCGAATCGCCGCCGCCGCTCCCGCGACCGCCGCTCTTGACGGGCGCCTTCTTCTTGGATGTGAAATCTTCGAACGCGGGAACCGGGGGAGGGGCAGAGCGATGACACCCCGGCCACACCACCGGGTCCGTGGCGTTTCCGTGCGCCGCCCGAAGTGACCCCAGAAGGTACTCCACCTTGTCCAAAAATGGACTCCCGCGAGCGCGAGCTGCGCGCACGGCGTCCTCCACCGTGCTGTTGGGTGGCATCACGATAGCCACAGTCTCCGCAGCCCGAAGAACCCGATCTCGGTCTCCTGGCGGGAAGTCGAACTGTATGGCTTGCGCCATATCAGCCAGTTGACCCTTCGCGAAAGCTGAGTCGCCTTTGCGGAAGGCCAGCAAGCGTTCGCTGCCCAGTGTGGTATGGCTGCGGGCCGCCGCAGCGTAGGAAACGGCAGCGGGGGGAGGGGAAGACGGTGTCGACGGTTCCCACGAAGAGGGCGCCGGAGGGATGTCCCGCTCATCCGCCGATGAAGCCCGCGAGCCGGCGCCAGAGTCGTGGGTCGCGCGGTCCCGGAGCCTCCGGTTGCGCTGGCCCGTGTATGTCTCTACCGCGCAACAGTGACGAGCCTTCTGCTCACGATTGCAGGCTGCCTGCGAAGACAGCGACGCCCGCTTGGCCTGGAGTACCGCGATTTCATCCTCCGTGGCCTTGAGAGCAGTGGCGAGGGCATTCCGAATGCCCGCTTCCTCCTTTTGGTCTTCCTCGTCCTCCAGCTGGCGAGCGGGGGCCAAGCGCTCGGCCCGGACGCGATCCACCGCATCGCAGGTGACCGCCTCCACCGCTGAAGAGGACAAGAACTCTTGCACGTCCGCAGGGAGGTCGTGCCAGCGGTCGCCGATAGTCCCGAAGAGAGCCGGGCACTCGACAGAAGGCGCCGCAACAGACGAAGGAGCCGTGGTAGCGGACGGTGCAGTAGCAGCAGCAGCGGATGCCGTAGCAGCAGCTGTAGTAGCAGAAGCAGCAGGGGCAGAAGCAGGAGTGGTCATGACGACGGGCGCTGCTGGGCGTTCGGCCCGGCGACGACTCTCGGCCGCCGTGGTGGCCTCTCGTAAAGCCGGCGAAAACAGCGCCGTCGACGCCGAATCCTCCACCGCAGCATAACGAGGAGGGGGCGAGGAGTCGGAGGGAGCATTGGGGGCTTCCATGGCGCTGATGGTCCGGAGAAGTTCCTCGTTGCGGGCTTCCGCGAGGCGTACTCGTTCCAGGGCAGCAGCAGTGGCTGCACGTTCATGGGCAGAAGAAAGCATGGGAGGCGGGGCAGGCACATTGTTAGCATAAGCTACAGCAGTGCGTGCATTGCGAGCCTGGTGACGCTTATCACGAGCATGCGCCTGCGCTCGGTTACTCTTAGAGGTATAACTCTGAGAAGCGGGCACGCGGGCGGCGGGCAGATTAACATCAGTGTACATCAACCGAGCGCCCGTGCTACTTCCCCGAACAGGAATCAGGGATTGTGCAGGCGTATCGATACGTACACCTCGAGAGGTATTGGTGGTCCTTGGCGCTACTGAACGCGCAATAGTGCGAGCAGAGCCACTAAGGTCAGACGATACATGGGACACACTAGTACGCGAAGCAAGTGCAACTGCGGATGCGGGGGGGTGTTGTACAACGTCAGAAAACGTGACAGTCCCGTCAGCAACAGACGGGACGGAAGACACATCACGCGAAGCGAGTGTCGGTCCTATTGCGACTGAACGCACATCGAACGTTCCTACTGTGGCTGAACACACATCGGAGGGTTGGGGAAGAGCTCCTACTGCGACTGAACGCGCATCAGAGGGGTGGATGGCCACTACAGCAGTACGAGTGGCCACCTCAGCATCACCAGAAACAGCAGTCTCAAAAGGAGACGGAAATGTTCCGGTGGGGGTATGAACGGCATCAACCGCAGAACCAGTGGGTACAGAGGGAGCAGCCGGCTTACGCGAACGCACACCGCTCTGGGCTATAGCCCCTTGCGCACGCTCATCCTCTTGGAAAAAAGGCGGACACGCCTGGCCTCAGCGCGAAGCTCAGACAGACGTGTCGCCTCTTCTTGGGGATCAGCGGCGCGAGCACCAACACTATCATGTGGCGCATACAAAGCGTGGTCGAAAAAACCTGAGGATACTGCAGGATCAACACGTGATACAGCAGGCAGCGCGTCTGGCGAACCAGGCGGTGGGGGAGAAACCCATTGCAAGGAACTGGCAGGGCTGGCGGGCTCGGAGGCCTCGCTGCCGTCCGTACGACGAGACATAGCAACAAAGGAAGAGCAACTACGACCACGCGTTCACGATAGCCAGCGGCGGAGAGCACGCAAAAAAATAGAAATGGAGCTAGCTCGCGCCACGCCAAGCAGAGAACAGTCGAGAGAAAGCTAAAATCCTTTACGGAGACGACGCCATATGTTGTGGGATTCACGCGTAGCAATCCCCGAAGACCCTGGGGAAGACTCACTTGTTTATTAATCTCTGGGAACAGCAGTGCTTGTTGTTGCCTTGCTCTCAAAGGTAGACTGAGCACAGTGGGGGAGGTCGAGCTCCCTCAAATAGGGGCTACAAAAGACCCTGTCCCCGGGTTTATCCTTCCAGCGGCAGTTACATCTCCCGCACTTCCTACGGGAATTACGCCGCATAATAACCGTTGATACTTGCTACAATTCAAATCCCATAACAGTTAATCATAATCAAGCGATATATCGGCAGACAAATTTCCTCTCTTTCGAGATGTCTAGCGCAGGAACATCACACAACATGGAGGGGATCGAACCAGCAAACTGTGTCTACGAAGTCGAACGGTATACCCCTACGCTATATCATGAAGCATATCAGGTGTTACTTGTACATTCCAAGAATNGGCGCAGGAACATCACACAACGCGGAGGGGATCGAATCAGCAAACTGTGTCTACGAAGTCGAACGGTGTACCGCTACGCTATATCATGAAGCATATCAGGTGTTACTTGTACATTCCAAGAATCTATAGTGTTGAGGGGGGTGTATTCATAGTCGTGCATGCCGTAGTCCTCAGACTATTGACCTCGCATCCCTACAAGCCGGGACGGAGTACGCCGGGTTCTCACCGGACCAGGCTCTCACATCACCAAGCGCGAAGCGCCGTGAGATATTCGGCGAGTCGCATGAAGGGTGCGCTGCATCCTGCTAAGGGTGTTCGGCATCTTGTGCTTACTTCCTTGCGTACGGATGACAGCTGCGTATGAATTAATTTATTTTCTGGTGCTTTCACTTCCAGAGACAGTTGTAAGCACTGTGTAACTGCCTCGAGGGTGCTTGACCATTTTAACACAACGTGGTGCGATCATCCCCTTTGCGCGGAGTGAGGGTTCTTCACCCCGCACAGCATGATCTACTCGAAACAGGTTTTTCGCACGATTGAGAGCGAAGTTTCCGATTGAGAGCGAGAACCAAAAAAANGAAAAAAAAAAACGGTAGCCTGGTTGCCGAGCTCACGAAATTAATTGGCTTGTTTTACAACGTCATTGCCAAGCGACGAAAACCCAATCCCGATGGCAAACACCG